TTCTATTATGAGGTTGTTTAATTGCAATTAATTTATACTATAAATGAATTCAATATATGTAGAAAAAGGTTTTTATCTTGATAGGTAACGATGAAACACTAAAAAATTAGATCTATACTTAAATAACAGGAGTCATATAGTTTTAAAATGAAGAAAATTACAATCCTTTCCCTTAAGTAATAAAACAATCTCATTCCTTTAAAGGAATAGAATAATATGTATTGAACACTCCACCAATAAAAACAAAAGAAGATCACAAAATGTTATGGAGTTTAATCGCTACTATTTGTTAATGTCACAAATTAATTATTGAAAAGGTTTTTTACTTTTTGCTTAATTAACATTAAGTATTTACTGATATCTTAGTTGATTTAAAGGTACTGCTATTTTATTCAAATTATTCCGATTGTGGAATTTATTTTTTTACAAATTCAAAGGAGCTTTATGATTAAATGAATTGTAAAAACAAAAATACAATTTGCTTTTAAATCTTAGGTATTACAGATCTTTTAACAACATTTAAATAATTGATTTAAAGCAGAAATAACGTGATTTTAGGAACTTATAGTATTGGTTAATTGAAGATTGATGAATAAAGTGAAATTAACTGTTAAATTAATGCACTTTAAAAGGAATTAAAAGGAGCTATAATTATTGGTAATAGTTAGGCTTTGTTTATAACAAAGTACTTCTAAACTATGCAATTAGAATAAATTCTGAAATCATTCTAATTCAATTTTGATAAAATATTCAGTATCTTCGAATATAAAGTCATAATTAAATTTTTAATAGATTAACTATTTAATTAAATCATGAAAGTTATACATCGATTAATTTTATCCACTTTTTACTAATGTTCAGAATGTTTACAATTGTACTATTTTGTAAATTCCACTTTATATCATATTTCTCAAAACATAATTGAAACTGTAATTGCTAATCCTGAGAGCCATAGAACTCGTAATAAATGTATATAATGCCAAAATTCTTTAAAATATATTTCCTTCTAGCTTATCATTTAAAAAAGTTTAGATTATTTTGAATAGAAAATATTATTGAAATTATCAGATGAATTCAAAAGCCAACCAAAATGTAATGAAAAACACGATACTGAACTTCTGAAAGAAATTAATATGGATATAAATGTTAATATAAAGATAAATAACAACTTAAAATGTGAGAATTCTATATCAGTTCTATTTTTAGCTAATGAAGATGATATTAAAAGTGATATCTTTAATATATTAATAGAACATAGGAATTAACAACATGTTAAGATTGATAATAAAATCTTCTTTAATGGTTAACTCAAAGATCGCAACTGTACTTATATATTTCATAATCCTCCTTTATTTGACTTCGATATTACTAATTTGAATGAAGTAGATACATTTAAAACATATTTTAGTAAAAATCCAATTCATATATTTGTTTTTTTCTTAAATTATTAAAGAACTGAAATCATGAAGTCAAGATACTTCGATATGTTTAAAAAATTACCAAATCTAAATAAATAGTAAGTCTTTATTTTTGTGACTTCTTGTGATGCTGATGTCGATTAATAGCAAAATTTGAAAAAGGAATTCTAAAAATTATCATGCAATTCTATGGTCTTTTTGAAGAGGCAAATCAATCAAACTGTAATTAAATCTTAGATTTTAGATTGCTTTTCAAACGCTAATGCAATCTAATTTCAATTTTAAGATACTATTTTTGAAAAGTAGAATGCTGAAGAAGATAAAAAAATTTTAAATAATTTTAGAGAAGCTTCAGATCAAATTAAAAATGATAAACTGGAAGAATTATACAATTAACAAAGGAATAAAGATAATTAAATTGAAGAGTTAAATTTTGAAATAGAAAAATTGGAAAAGATTCTGAATCAAAAAAAAGAGAAACTTAGAAATATAATTTAAGAAAAAGAAATAAATAAGTCCATTATCTAGCAATTGAGGCAATCAAAATGTAGATGAGAATGAGTTTTATGAAATTTTAAAATCTATTTGAGTACTTGTAATAATAATACAAAGCATAACATATATTTTAGTTAAATTAATAATTATTTATTATCACTTTACTCATTTTAATTCTCAAAAGTTTTTGAAAAATTTCTATGTGTCAGTTAATTTTGTTAATTGTATAATTTATAATCATAGACCCTAAATTGATCCTCTTTTCAATAATAGAATAATTTTTTATAATAATAATAATACTAAATTTTTCTAGTATTGTTATAATCAAATGGAAAACAAATTTTCAAATCCATAACATTTAAAAGGCAATCGAAATATTGGTTAAAATATTGGATTTATATCTTAAGGATTCTCAATGGAGTTATTTATAGATTATTTATGGTAGTGTAAGAATTAGATTTAATTATCAACTTAAGAGGAGGTGGATGTTGTTACTCATCCAAAGTATTACCAACAGAATAGGTTAAAATTTCACATAATGATATCTTTTAATTGATTCTACAAAGAGGTTCACTAAATTTAAAGCAAGAACTTAAAGACAGAGTAAAAATAATTTCTAGTAAAATACCAATGCTCATAGAGGGTAATATAAAAATTATAAACTAATTTGTGTCCCTACTGATTTTTGAGTAATTTGGATAAATATGTTTGAAAGAATTTTAATTAATTCAAAAAATAAACTATCATTAACTTGTATTAAGAGGATTAAAGTATTAATATGATATAACAATAACTTCTATATAAAAATAATAGAAAATTTAGAACGATTAAGATATGATATAATTACAAAGATTACAATCCAATTTAGATAGTGTAAACGATTTGATTAACCATATTAAGAATATAGAACTTGAATTAACAGTCAGTGAATCTTTTGATTTTAAAAATTTTCTTTAGTAATGGTATATAAATTAAAGATTTGTTTTGAAAAACTATTTAGGATTTTTTTTAATTAAGATAGAAGTGATATAATCCTATATTTAGATAATTTGTATGAAATATAATTATAGATTCAAAAAGAATACATATACATAATTAATGGATTACATTAATTTCTAATTTATATAGAAGGTAAGTTTTTTGCCCTGCTTTTATTTCGTTTTGATTTAATAAAACCAAAAATATTGAAATTTTAGATTATTTAGGTAAAATAAAATTATAAGTGCTTCATAAAAATTGTTTTTTGTTTATTTTATTTCATTAGACCTGTTGAAGATATTGAGAGTATAATACCAATGGAATAGCATAATTTATAATCATTTCGACCAATAACTTACCAAATTGTGATACGACTCTACTAGAATGTTGAAAACCAAAATACTACAATTAATTACAGGTCTGTAATATTAAATTATGTTAATAATATCTAATATTTATCATTTTAAGTAGATGAGAAGAAATACTTTGACAATCAAATCAATATAATTCAGGAGAAGTTAAATAAGAATTACTACAATTACAAAAAAAGTGAGGCAATATGTCAATTATTGGAATAGGTTGAAACAAAATTACAAAATTACAAAATTGTTAAAATTTCAATATTGTAAATTTAAAGAATATTTACATCGACATCATGATTGATTGCATAAGTATATTAATAGTGCTTAAATCTTTTTATAATTAATGCATATTAGTAAAGGATTTTAATGATCAGTAGCTTCTATCATTTAAAAATATATTTACAAAAATTGAGGATCTATTAAAAGTGGAATGGGAGAAAATGATTTAAATAATTTTAGATAAAATATCTCGAAGACGACCGAGCGTAGAAATAAAATAGTGCGAAATTTAAACAAAGAATTATTAGTGATGTTAGATAGGGAGACGTATGTTGATTTAGGAAAAAAAAACAAAAATGTCCTGAAAAAGCTTTCAATTATCAAAGTAGGATCATAAAAATGTTCGTAAATATAAAGCTAATCTGAAGGAAAATTTTACTTTTTGATCTAAATTTAAGATAATTGACTTCTTAACATATCTTCTATAATTAATGAATCTGAAGAATCTTTAAATAAATCAAGTAACTAATAAGATAAATAATTACATTATATTAAGATAATGACTACTATTGAATTAATCCAATAGCTAAACAGAAATTATTTGATTAATCTAAAATAAATCTTCTTACAAATTTTGAATAACCCTCATCATAAAAATGAAATTGCAGAAATAATTGAATTTTTCAATGAACTAGTAAGTAAACAATCATAGAGTGATGATAGGCTATTTAAAAACTAATAACTAGAACCTAAAGATATAAGAAATTTAAACATTCTGTCACAAAAAGAAGGAAGTAATATTTTAAATTAGAACCAATAAGATATTCTATTGTAATTAAGATAGTGGTAAAATTAATAGAGTAGTTAGCAATAGCAAATGAATTTATCTTAAATGTCGGATCCAGTTAGTTATAATAAATTTAGTTTGTTTATTTTATAGCAATTATGATATCCGTAATAATTCAAATTATCTGAGCATAATAGAAGACATATTGAGAATTTAGTAGTTTAATTAATTAAGATTATGTCTTTTTGTAGTGAAACGACATATTTTTGAATTTGCTTTGGAGAATTTAATTGATATTTGGTTGGAAAATGAATATGATCAATTAAATTTAGATGAAAATATCGTAGAATTAATTTAGAATTTGCGAAAGTGCATTAAAGTTAACATAGAATATTTCAACAACTAAGACAATCCAATACAATTAGATAATTCTAATTAATTTGTTTTATATTAATTAATAATAGTATTTAT